AAACTTCAAATATATATTTATATTTATTATGCCAGCATTCTCCAGCCTATTCAAGAATCTTTGCCTTTCTGTCCTGGAGGAACAAGATTCCTGTATGATTTCATTTTCAATTTTTTTTTAATGCTCTTTAGACCGTCATAGTTGAAACACCTCTCTCATATGCCAAACGTCATACGAATTGAATTGAATCTTTTCTAATTGGTCACTTTAGCTCTAACTTGAAATGATGACCCCTCTTCCTGTTTTACTCTCTAATACTCTTTCTTTTTTTAAAATTATTCACTATTCTCTTGATGGTTCTTGAATGGATTTTGAAGATGGAAGCCAGTGTGTGAATGTTGGTAATATTACTGAAGACCTGAATAATATTTTTCCTCTCACCATTGTTCTGTTTGGAAGACAGTGGTTCTGGCACAAAATGATTTTATCTTGCTCATTTTTAGCTGAATAATTCACAGAGATTTTCAGTGATTCTCTTGTAGATAGTATTCGCTTGTAACAGCAGCGAATTGAAACTCTGATCCCATTTTCTTCCAAATTCATATCTGTTAGTTGGGGGCCTACATAAAGAGGAACAAACTGCTCAGGAACAACAAACAACCTCAGCGTACGGAGGCTGGTAGTTAAATAAGTAAGGACGTTCCGGCTAACATGATTTAATGTTGCAGTTGCTCCATAAAATTTTGTTGTTTACTTTCCGCTTTCTAAGTGAGTCAGGACATTTTGGCCAACCTATTATAATAATAATTCGTTTTTAACTGTGTATTGATTAAATATTAATAATTGAAAGAATCTTTGTAAGTTTTGTTTAACACGTACTTTGTAGCCATTATTCTAATTGATTAATGAACCAGGATTGTGAGCATCAACACGAAATTCGAACAAATCTCGAGACACTTCAAGAAAATCTTTTTGTAGGGTATTTATTTTTAGCTCTACATGTGACCAATAATATCAGGAACGAAGAGATTATAGTGCTTGTAACATTACGTCGTTAATACAATTCAAGGATAGAAAGAAATAGATATAACAAGAAAATATGGAAAGGAGAGTACTAATCATCTAACAGAGAAAATGAAGAAAAATATAGTTAATGCTCTGAGAAACCAATATCCGCGAAAAGTTGGAAGCAAAATAACGAAGCCAAATGCCATGGACAATGTGTCGAAATGTAGAGAAAAGTGAACAATCACCATAATAACATACACTTGTAACGAAAACAGAATAAATATCCTGGTCACACAAAACACTGCGTGTCACATTTCAACCCTGACCATACTAAGTGGACAATCTCCCAGGAAATAGAACATACACCCGTATACATTAAAAGTCTGTCTCCAACCATATACAATAACGAACCTAGTGATGACGAAGTAAAGAAATTTATAACAAAAGCTAAATAAAAATGAAGCATCACCTGAAATTGAAGCTTTACATTTGAAATTAGCGTAGCGCCTCCTCGAATATAAAAAATGGATTTCTCAATTTGATGTCGGAAATCTGGAATCAGAAAAGCGTCCCAGAAAATGGGGGTTTATATTTAAACCTATACATTAATGGCCTATGGAAACAAAAATATAGTCCTCATGCGTGCCACACATACAAATGTATATCATTTGGATCAATTTTGTAGTAAAGAACATTGTAATAACTAGACTCTCACCGTTGTATGAAAATCAAATCATCACATGAATTGCGATTTTGTTGTGGTAGACAGTGTAATGATGGCATTAATTTAATCCAGGAAAATGAATACCTGTCCAATATCTATCTCCAAATTTCATCATATCTATCTATCTATCTATCTATCTATCTATCTATCTATCTATCTATCTATCTATCTCCTAATTTCATCTCTCTCTCTCTCTCTCTCTCTCTCTCTCTCTCTCTCTCTCTATCTATCTATCTGAAGTCTTTTCATATATATCTATCTCCTAATTTTATCTATCTATCTATCTATCTATCTCCTAATTTCATCTATCTGAAGTTTTTTCATATCTATCTATCTATCTATCTATCTATCTATCTATCTATCTATCTATCTCCTAATTTCATCTCTCTCTCTCTCACTCTCTATCTATCTATCTGAAGTCTTTTCATATCTATCTATCTATCTATCTATCTATCTATCTATCTATCTCATAATTTCATCTATCTATCTATCTATCTCCTAATTTCATCTATCTGAAGTTTTTTCATTATCTATCTATCTATCTATCTATCTATCTATCTATCTATCTATCTATCTCCTAATTTCAGCTATCTATCTATCCATCCATATTTCTATCTATCTATCTATCTATCTATCTATCTATCTATCTATCTATCTATCTATCTATCTATTTCAGTCAGTTTGCTAGTATATGTAATCATCTTCTCCCTTTCTATAACAATAACCGTCCCGACCGTCTCCCATTCTTCCACCTGCTCATCCTTACACCTGCCCATTCTTCCACCTGTCCATCTGTGTGTTTCGTCTTTTATTCAGTTGCTATGTTAATTCCCTGAGACATTTTCACGTCAACCTTGGCCCCACCGTCCAATCATCTCAATAAATAAATAAATAAAAAGTGAATAAAATTACCATGCTTTTTTTTTCCAAAAAATCATTGCACTTACGAGTTGATTTTTTTTTTTATGTCAGGATCCTGGGTAAAATGTCCACTTGTCGAAGGCGCTAGAAATATTCCACCCTAACCCGTCCATTTGAAAAGGTGCGATATTCCCCGCTCCTCCACACAATTCAGCCACAATTAATTCTCTCAGCTAAACTGAAGAGAACTGCCACCTTCTAATCTTGCAGTTCTTTTTGTTTTGTTTCTTCCTACGCTCTACACTTAAATGATATCTCGCGCTCAGAGAGATGCATTCACATAGTATAACGCTAGGAAGGTCTTTTTTTTCTGCGTGGGCAGCCAGCCTTTAGCTTCAGAGAATGGGCGCAATTTGAATGGCAAATTTTGTCATAAGTGAAAACCTCAGCAAAATTGGCGCTGCACAGTATTCCATTGAAAAACCCTAGATTTGTCAAGTTTTCAATATAAATTAAATTATTAAAAAATATTAAGAAAAGCATATCTGCTGAAATTTGTTGTCACTGTTCAAGCAGATGTTTGGGCACCTTGGTGTGGTGTAATGGTTAGCAAGCTTGTCTTGCTAGAATAATTACGACTGTATAGTGATTTCGATCCTCGCTGGGCGCTCCGAACATTTGTGCCACATCTAAGCTACGCTTAGAAAATCATTTCTCTCGGCCTTGTGCCACAATTTTTTAATTTTACAAAATAAATATTCTAATCGAACTGAGGTTGAATTTTAAATATACAGGGTAAATTGAAAAGTAACTCCCTATTTTATGTATCATAGACTCTCTCCTCTAACTATATTTTTACAAGTAAATAAGTAGTTACTTTTCAGTCACTGTATATACGTATATATCTGTGTGTGCATATCGTATGTGTATGTATGTAACGTTTAAACAAATAAATCACAAATATGTATGTGTGTGTATATATTTATAACCAAGAGACCCGGGTCCACATCTCAACATGATCGACTCGCCAGGAAGGTAACTTTTTTATTCTATCGGCCTAGAATCGCGTGCCTCAGACTGATAGAATCAAGAAGTTACCTTTGGAAAGTGACTAAAAACGATACAACGTGTTGACCCACGCTTTTTGAGTGAAATTGGGTGAACGGTATTCTTTGGGGAGCCGTCAATGGTTGTACTGGAACGAAGTTACAAGTAATCCTGGCCGAGGGTTTGAGCCTGCTGGCCTTGTTCAGGCTGTTGGTGACGCTAGATAACGCTCTCTGTCTGTCTGTCTGTCTGTCTGTCTGTCTGTCTCCGAAACCATATATGAGATCCGTTAAGCACACTTGCAGTATAAAACAAAAATCGGCTCTGTGGGTTTTGAACAAACACAAATGTGCCTGAACAGGCGTCTGCAACAGGGATTAGCTTGTCAACCTAGTAGACGGGAATCCATGGATGCATGTGGTCCGCCATTAAAAAAAAAAATATGTATGTATGTATGTATGTGATGTGCCTTAGAAAGATGTCTGCACTTTCCCATATACTGGAAGTACTATATCAAAAGATGGTGTCATGGATGCTGTGATTTTTTTCGTGTATTCAGAAAACAAGTACACAATTTGGTAAATTGGAAAGTAGAGTTTGGTTAGATAGGAACATTATCAGCAAGACTAAAATAAGTGTGTATACAGCCTGTGTCTTAAAATTCCATCTGTACACTTCCGAAACAAAGACAAGATACCGGTGGGTATATAAAATGGCTTGAGCCATTCCATCAAAAATATAGATTCTTAACAGCAATTTCTAGTCTTTGTTCTGTTGTCCCTAAAAGATCTGAAAAAAGAAACAGCACTGAAGCAATAATACTTTAATAAAAGTCAATCATATATATATATATATATATATATATATATATATATATATATATATATATATATATATATATATATATATATATATATATATATATATATATATATATATGGCTGAGTGGTTGAAAAGTTCGCTTTCTGGCAATGAGATCCAGGTTCGAGTCTCACCATGGTCGATTTGTCAGGAAGGAGACTTCAGGATGTTATCTGTCTGGGGTGGAGGACGATGCCAGCGTGCGACACCTATGAAAAAAGTGCCTGAAAAACCATGCCTCTGGTTGACCCAACCCTTGTGTGTGAAATTGGTTAGAGAGAACTCTTTGAGAACCCGTTAATGGTTGAGCTAGCACGAAGTCATCGTGACCGACGGTTTGAGCGTTCTGGCCTTGCTCAGATTGTTGACCACGCTCTCTCTGTCAGAAACTGTAACTAAGGCCCGCTCAGCAACAGCTGGGCTCTCTGGGTGCTGAACAAACACAAATGTGCCTCAGTGGGCTCCTATAACAGGGATTTACTAGTTGTCCTAGTAGACGGGAAACCTCGAAGACGAGCAGCCAGCCATTTTTTTAGATGTATGTATATTCTTTATGGGCGTTGAAGTGCATATTCATTATCACAAGCCTCTCTGAGTAGGCCATGTCATTCGTCTTGATGTCTGAGAAATAGACAAACAAATGTTCTACAGTGAGTTGGTCTGTGGCACTTGACCTCAGCGTAAAACAAAGAAGTCCTTCAAGTAACGTTTAAAAGAGTATCTTGGAACCTGCCATAGAGATGATACTGTTGCTCGTGATCTATATATGCGGAGGCATATAATACCTGAAGGCACGAAGAGCATCTATGCAACGAGTTGTGCCAACGTCAAATCCCCAGCTAGAAACCATTGATCCAGCAACACAACCATTTACAAGTGATGAATGTGAAAGGGCATGTCTCTCCAATGCAGACGACTTTAGTCAGTAGAAAAATCATATTGGTAGACCTTTCACAAATTAGGATTAGTATTGCAAACGTATAAAAATTACTTAAAGTGAAGGGTGAGTTAGAAAAGTTGTCACCCGTCACATAAGGACCTTTGAGCAAGCTGAACATGCTTTACAAAACAGACTAGACACTCTACAATACAAATTAGACTGCCTGATGTTCAGTAAGCTTTGTGAGTCACGTGCTGGCTTCAAGAATAATTGTCGTTGTCACGAGAATGAAAAACGTTGATCAAGTTTTTCGTCGATGGTCATACTTGTTTCAGGAATCGACAGCCATCATTTTATGGTGGTTAAAACTTTTCAGCTTCCCGACCATCAGACCACATTCGCATCTCCCTGTGTTCTATTTGCCAGGAAGGTGACTTTTTGTTAAGCTCGTAGCTCATTTGGAAAGTATGTGAAAACCATACTTCCCATTGACCCAAGCCTTGTAGATAAAATTGGGTAGACGGAAATATTCATAAGCCGACGAAGTTTGTACTAGAACGAAGTCACAAATCATCGCGATCGAGAGATTTAATGTACTGGTGTTGTTCAAATTGTTGGTCATGATAGAGTATACACTATTTCCTAGAAAGTGCAATGGCGGTCCACTCATTATAATTGCAATATAAACTACAAGTGTACTTCGTGGGTATTGAATAAATACAAATGTGTCTGAGCAGGCTTCTGCAACAGTGATTTAATTTAAAATGCTTATACATGTGTGCGCGCAAATTTCACATATTAGTGTATAAATTTATCTTGATTTAAAGCAAAAAAAAGAATCATGAATATTTATTGTGTGTTAATTCACTTAAAAACGGTCCGTTTTACAACTTTGCCCCACGCATACGCACACAATTCTTCTTCTTCTTCTTCTTCTTCTTCTTATATATATATATATATATATATATATATATATATATATATATATATATATATATATCAAAACAAAAGCTCTTACACTCAATCTCTCCACAACACACTCATACACAAATAATACATGCTGCATTGAAAATGACTGTCAAGATATTTCTATTAATTTTCTCATTGTGTTTTTTTCGTGTACGAATTAAAAATGACTTTTTAAGACATAGTGCAAGTATAAATTGTCCAAATGATTTTTCATACCGAACATTTTCACTTAATCTAGTAGATATTTTCAAGGATTTTGGTTGTTCGCGTGTAAGTTTACTGAGATGAAGGTTTATTCTCAATTTCCAAACATGGCCAGTCTATTATGGCTGGGTTCATACTTTTTTTTTTTTTTTTTTTTTGTAATAAGAAGTGCAATTCCCTATATTTAGTTGTTTTTACCAGTTAGACGCGTGCTTTATATTTGTTTTTTCGATAAGTATTTTGTTTATCGAAGCTGCTATATTTTCATATTGATTTAAATGAGTCCTTATGGGGCTATGGTCCGTGCGTTGTTAGATCATCCCTCTTGATAAACAAATACTGGTATGTTTGATGTAATTCTTTATGAATGTGCTTTGTCGGGAACACATTTCCTGTGCTCTCTTTGAATTCATATATAATGTTGATCTTGTATAATTTTGAGAGTTGTTGTTGCTGTTGTTAAGGTTGATTGATTTAAATCTTTTGTAGTTAATAATTTAATTTAATTTTCTTAGTGGGTTTCACTAGGCCAATGTTCTTTTTAAATATTACTCCTCTATCTGATTCATTTTCACTGTAATTTCGATCCATTTTTTATCGATAAAATATATTAATATTATTACAATATTTAATAATATACAAATATAAATTATTTTACATGGCAGGTCCTTGCAGAACGGAGATGATCATGACTCTCCACGATTTTCTCTTCTGAATTACTCTTAGTATTTTTACACTTTTTATTATCATCTTTTGTTTTTGTTTAGTTATCCATCGAAACAAGTCCGTACATAAGTTACTCGCTGTATTCCTAGGATTTTGTTTTCAGTATGCCCTGTGAATGTTAAATACTCTAGACTCTAGAACCGCGTCCCTCACTGTGCATATTAACTGTTTCTTTCTGATACTAAGTATAATTATGGATGTAGTTCCACTATTCCTTAAAACTCCCTTGTTGCTAAGATGATCACTCTGTGGTATTCTTAGCATTCTTCGGAAGAACCAC